GCAGCCGCGGGAAGGGGCTCACCACCCTCAGCGAGGGTTCGCTCAGCCTTCGCCAGGCGTCCCCGAGCCCTCCCAGCCCGCCCCGAGGACGGTGACGGGGGGCATTAACACCACTAACGGCTGAATGGGGGTTAGCAAACCCAGCCCCCTCAGCCGCTCGCAGGGGCGAGGGGAGGCATCCCGTGGGGACGGGAACGAGCAGAGACAAGGGCTAAATGAGCCCGCCCAGGCTGCAATGCGGCTAAGGACACAAAGGCCATGTCCTAAAACACTTGGAGTTTGTACACCGGCTTTACAACTGCTGGAGGCCGCACCATTTGCACGCTGGTACCTCCCTACAAAAGGAGTCACGCGCCTGCTGTTGCGTTAGGGCAGCCTTGGCCGTAAAGCACTACAGTGCTCTGCGTGGCTCCAGGATTGGCACCCCAAAATGTTAACGCAAGCCCGATCCAGAGAACACGTAAGGCAGGAGAAAGCTTCCTACAGCTTTTAATAAGTTCTGGATCGGGTCCCAGGTCATCCCGGTGCTGTTTTGTGAAATTACTTAGATTTATGTCTGGCTATTTAATATCAGTCTGGGAAAGAAAAAAAAAAAAAGACCTGCTTTTGCTCAGCTCTGTGTTTGACTGCCGCTGCTCCCCTCAAAAGGGTTTAATTTTTTATCTTGTTCATTTTTTTCCCCTTTGCACTGATATTTTTTTCTAATTTGGTGACCTCAGCAAGATGTTTGGGATGCACTTGACAAAACATAATATATCACCTGTCAAGAGATCCCGGCTTTTAAAAAGTGGGAAAATTACTGGTATAATCGCAGAGTAAACACTTGTCCGGGGAAGGGGAACTCCTCCGTGCCGTGGGGTGGTCCGGGAGCCTTCCCCCCCGGAAAGGCGCGAGTCCGGCCAGCACCGGGCGCTGATGGGAGCCTGACAAGGAGTTGATAAACCAGGGCTGCCCTACGGCTCGGAGACGCGTTATAACTGATTGTTTTAATACCAAAGTGACACCAAAGGGGGGTCAAGTAAATAAATATGCATGCCTCACCAGTTCAAAATAATAAAATTCCAATGTGTGCAAGCCTGCTTGTTGAACATATGTTTGCGGCACGGCTAAGCCATCTGGCTCAATGTCAAGCATTTACACCAACTGCAGTCTTACACTACCTGACAGCAGAAAAGCTTTATTCCCTTGGTGTTTGGGCACAAATGGAGAAATATTATTGAAATGATTATCTGCATCAAGACTCAGATTTGGTTTGACATTTAGCTGGCTCTGTTTAATCCAAAGGGTTGTCTGAATGAATAAAGAGAAGGGTTCCTCCAGAAGATGCTGCAAGCAGCCAGGGAAAGCCAAATGATTAATGAGACTGAAAGGCTGGGTGGACCCTGCCCACCTCCACCCAGACCTCGGTGCCAAGAACTGCATATGAAATTAGGCTGAGACTTTTGTAGCTTGTCAGGAGGATGCTCACGGCGGAAGGGGCTCTATTTTTGGACCTTAAGAAAACAAAAGAAATCACTAGGTTGCTTCCAGCCGAGAAGGAAAGCTCCGCGTCCTAATTAAAAACAATCTCTTAAAAGTCGCAGGTCATCGTCGCACCCCGGTCACAGCGAGATGCGGTTTGGACCTGCGTGTCCCTCCGCCCCCGCCGCCAGAGGAGACGGGGAGATGCCTGGTGCCTCCTGCACCCCCCACCTGGGACAGGGCCCCCACCGCACCCCTGGGACCTGCCGGGGAGGCCCCCAGGGAGGGTGATTTAACCCCAAAGAAGGTGGGCCGCTTCCTCTTTTCCAAAAAGTCTTCTGTAACACAGGAGTGGAGAGGAAAAAAACCAACCACAAATCCCTACGAAGTTTGGAGCCAGTTAATAAGAAAAGAGTGGGAGCAGGATTTGTTTGAACTCACGGGGCTGCCGAAGGCTCAGCCTGACAAAGATAGATTTATCTGAGCAATCAGACATACTATATTTTAAAATAAAATAGGATGGAACTGCAAGGCGCAAGGCTCTGATCAGCGTTATGGTCCAGAAAATCGTTCTCTTTGGGAGTACTAAAGCGCAACCTCCTTCCCTCTTCCCGCAGGAGACCAGACTGTACTGGGTTTTTTCCTTCCTCCTTCTATCTCCACTTCTGATTGTTGATTTGGATTTAAAATTAATTTGGTGATTTGAGTTTAATAAGAATGTTAGACATGATTTCCTTCCCACTCTTACTTTTAATTAACTTTTTAATTGAGATTTAAATGAATTCTAATGAACAGAATTGGTAGCCTAATTGATTTGTTGCAGCAGCATAGTGAGGGATCAGTATGCTGGCAGCATTTTGATATATTACTCCATGATGTCAAACAGTTTACAGGTTAATTTTTTGGCAGAGGTTACTTAATGTCAGCAGAAAAACAATAATTTACTTTTGATTTATTAATAAACAGTTCCTCATAAGTATACGGTCCGCGATGTTTAAACAAACTCGTGTTTATGCGCCGCCGCCTTCGCCACCTGTTAATGTCTCGTTAGGAACTTGTCCGGGGTTTGTACAGAACGAACCGGCCTTGCCCAGATGCGTCCCGGGATGAAGATGCAGCCGTCCCGTGACGGCCAGGGACAAGGGACGGGCTCTGCGCATCGCTGGCCCCCTGTTGCCGTCCCCTGCCTCGCTCTTCCCACCCCAGCGACGTCCCAAACCCCTCTGTCCCACGCACCGCTTGGCAAGCACTTCGTTTCTGAGCAGAGAACCCTTTTCGCGGTTTCCCTGCCACAATACGCTCTTTTATCGTACCAAGGACAACGAGCAGACGAGGAACGGCGTCGGGACAGAGCCTAGCACAGGCTGTAATTTCTGGCCGCGCCGGTTGCAGTTCGCCCCCGTGATGGTCCAGACAGCCCGACCGCGCCGCACGGTTCTGAAAGAAAACGACCAGCGCGTGATTAATTGCGAGCTCACGGATTTTGCAGCTTCGAGAGTAAATCAACTGCTAAGAAGTGCTAACTTGCTAAAATATAAACTAATTTTAGTCTCTGGATATTAAAATATAATCCATCTTCCTCCTCCGTCGGGAAAGCTCATGAGAAGCTGTGGCTGGTGTGAGGGGACAGGGGGGAGAAAGCTGGGATCAGGACCCTGCGTGACCCCCGGGCTGGGGAGACCCTGCCCGGCTCCTGCCCAGCTCAGACCACCGACCGCCCAAAGCACGCCCGCGCCGGCCGGCGCTTCCTGGCAGAAAACGCCTGCGTTTGGCTCAAAGGGCTCGGTTTTCTTCCCACCCCGGGTGTAAATCAGAGTGACGCTGGACCTATGTGGGTGTAAATGTGAAGCTTTAGAGACATTACTGCAGTCGGAGGGCAAAGCAGGATGGATGGAAAAGGAGAACGGGGACAGTGCCGGAAAATAGGATGAAAGAAAGAAATATTACCAGCAACATCCAAAATGGCTAGAAATACAGGGTGCTACCAAATTTAAAGGAATCAGGTTAAAAGGTTTCATTATATGATTTGTAAGGAATTTATGTGAAAATAGTATTCAAAAACTGGCACTTTTTTTTTTTTCAAAATACCAAGCTGTCAACTGGGAAGGGAGATCCATGGAAAACATGAAAACCCCCACGTTCCCCTGGACAGAGGTGGGCAAAGCTGGTCTCGGTGGGCTGGCAGAGGGAGGGCAGAGCTCCTGCCTGCGGGACCGCCCAGCATCACGGCCCCGTGTCACCCCGGGAGTCCTGCCCGCCTGCATCCTCCCCGTGCCGCGGGCTGTGCCCATGCCTGTGACCGTGCCCACGACCTTGCCCATGTCTCATC